TTTTTTTTTATCTCAGCTGCATCACTAGGGGAAGAAAAATCTGGCCTCATGAATATATAATTGAAGTCGGTTACCATCAAGTACAGCCTGGGGAGGCAGGCTGGGAGACAGAAAATTAACTCATAAAACCATGTACACATTGGTAGTGGGGAGGTCTTAAGTAGTATACAAAAGCATTTCAATACATTACCACACATTTTCATTTCAGATTATAGAAAACTGATCTGCATGCTTCTCTGTGGACCACTTTCCTGAAACTCAGCCGAGATGATAAAATCAACTGCCCTTCATTGGAAGATCCTGGTTTCCCTAACGCAGGATCCATTTGTATGTGAACATTTCTGCAGCAAACGTGCTTCACTGCAAAGTGAAGCCCTAAGATTTAACAATGTCAAATCTCGGTAATCATTCTCTTCTCTCTCATCCCACACGCGTGTGCCGAGCTGAGCCTCACCTCCAGTGCCATCACTACAAAGTTGGTGATGTCGGCCTCCTTTTCGCTGGGGATGAGAAGAACCGTTGGAAACTTTGAAAGCGACAGCAGGTACTGACTCAAGGCTCTGCACAGACTCACTACAGTCTGGTAGAAAACTCTCTCGCCTGCAAAAAGAAAAACAGCAGCAGTTTAAAAGCAAGCCTTAGTGTTATAAAACGGGGCCTGCAGGCAAAGAAATTCCTGTAGTATGAAAGGGAAGAAAAAGGTTTTGTGCTGGAAAAAGAAACTGTACAATAAACAGTACAGTAGTGAATGTAGGAGCAAAATCTTGTCTCTTGTCATGCAGTTTGGTAAAAAAAAAGTACCACCTTGTACAAAATACTAACTACATCAGCCCTCAGATGCCTTTCTGATTCCGATGGCGGGATTTCTCACTCACTGTAGACGTCGCTCAGCTTGTTCCAGTAAGCCGAGTCACCAGGGGCCGAAGAGGCAGCGAAGACCTGATGGTGGCTGGGCAGGAGCTGGACGGTGCTGGACAGGTGGTCGAGAGTGACCTGCAGAGCCGAGTCAAACAGGACGCTGCCCTGCTCCTTGCTCATCTTTTGGGCACCCAGACTGAGACAAGGGTCCAGGAGGTTTAAATTGAACTCCTTTTTGGGGCCCGAAGAAAAATACAACAAAGCAAAAGAAGGGGGAAAAGAAAGGATATTCACATTTCGTGTCCTAGAAAAAAATGTAATTTAGGCTAGATTTTTTTTGTCAAAAGTTCAACTATTTAATGTAATGGGCATGTTGCAATGTGTAAGGAGTTTCACTAAAACTGATCTTAAAAAAAATATATTTGCCCGTACATGTGTGCTTATTCTGAAATTCAAAATCCAGTAAGACAAATAAGATGGGGTGTTTTCATGTGTGTCCCAAACATAACTTAATTATTAATCTAACTTGACTAGGCCTACTCTTTCTTCCCATGGTAAGCATTTCCTGTTTGAAAGTTGTCAGTATAAGCGGGGCATGCTTAGCTTCCAAGAGATACTTCTTGTGATGAACTTTTTACCTTGGAAGTCATGATGGAGGAGAGGTCAGGCTGCGGAAGCTTGGTTAGCAGCTCTGTGGACTCCAGGAGAGCAGCGTCTGTGCGGAGGCAGCACTGAGACCTGACCAGTGCCACATACCACTCCTGCAACACAGAGCTCTACCATCAGCACTGCTTGCAAAAACTCCCACTTTCAAAATGCCTGTCAAACGTAGACTGAAAACACATTAGAACTGCAAGCTCAAATTCAAGATAAATGTTGAAAATGAACATTAAATGAACTAAGAAGGATCATTACAGCATCATGTTATGCTGTAGAAGTTTCTTGAATGCTAAGAGAACTTTTAAAACTACACAGATTTCAGTTTTTTTATTACACATATACAGTAGAAATCAATTTTCTAAAAGCTGAAAGGCACAAGGTTGGTTCCAGACAAAGCAACAAATTCTACCCTTAAACAAGCTGGCTCAAGGGATCTGGACACTCAATTAAAATTCTCATTAGGATATACTGGATGGTAAACGAGGCTTTACTGCAGCAATCGTGTTAGTTTTACACCAACACTCTTCAATTGCTTCCACAAAAACAATTGAAACTGCTATCAAAATCGCAAACTAGCACCAAGAGGCCATTTTATACCAAATACTCCACTAACTAAACACCTATTAGAATGTGGCTTATAAATAAATAAAGCCTTCACCATTTACCTAATTATGTAGCTAATTATCACTTGTCATGTCCATTTACAAATAACAGGGGTCTAATGGCTGCTGTTTGCAGATCAGATGTTAAACAGTGCCGTCAAAGACTGGCCTGCCACTGTAACACACCTAAGCATGACAATATCCACAATAACCTAAATTTACAGTTTCTAATGCTTGATGGCAAAGTATGTGAAGGTGCACCTATCTAATACACTTTCCCAATTTAATTAGCTAAGCCTACGTTTTCTCCTTAGCGTAAGCAAATGCTCAAATGTTGCCAGTATGGGCAGGGTGTGCTTTGAGAAACATCTTGTGATAGACTGCAACTCAGTGTTTCTTTGGTGTTTTCTCCTAAAACCAGACAAGCAGTGGTGAAATGTGATCTGGTCAGATGAATCATCCTTCAGCTTGTTCCTGACCAACAGACAAGTGCATGTGTCTTACCATACCATAGACCTCTGGTAATGGGTTCTGGTAATGGTCTTGGGCATATTCTCCTAGCATGGTTTGGGTGCATTCATTCCCATGTAAGACGTAATCCCTACTTAATCACTACTTCATGGTACCAAGCGATCATCGTCGCATATGTTGTGTTCCAGGAGAAGTGTCTTCCAGGATGACTATGCCCCCATGCACAGAGCACTTAAGGTCACTTTGATGGTTTGATGAACTTTATATAGCTGTTATCCATATTCACAGGTCATGGTCTTCTCAGTGACCAGATCTGAACACAATTGAGCAATCATGGGATATTCTGGAATGACATCTGAAACAGCATATTCCACCTTCATCATCAAACATACAGTATGTTGACTGTCTTTCTTGTGGAACAATGGTGCTGTTTGCCTCATGCACAGTTCCTTATCTTAACAGAGGGATATAGGCTGTCCTGGCAGCATGTCAAACTGACTTAACACTGGTGCTGCTGGTTTCTTCTCCACTATCCACAGCTACAGGTACCTATCCTAGATTCTTTTAGATCAACCTAATCTGAGGACTATCACTGGGTTGATGGGCATCCCCTGACACATAACTGTGTTAGCAGTTGACTGTTGGATTTTGTAAATGTTTGTTCCTTGGGATTGCACAAGATTGATTAGATATGGATTTGCCACAGAAGCTAGAGTTTAGTACTGGGATGGATCTTGAATGACCTACATGCAAGATTAACACCTATAAACCAGAGTCCCTTTGCTCATGCAAACTCACTAGTTGTAATTTGTAATTCTTTATTATGCAGATTCTGCTGCACTTTGTCTCTTTGTACTCATGGAGTGCAGTAAGCTGACAAGGGCTTTAACATATCCCAAATTCTCTTTGACCATGACCAAACAGATGAATCCATTAGCACGACATTTGCTGCATTTCTAAAGTGTTTTCTGGTATATATAAGTCACAGGGCTGTATGTTTTCAAGCACCCTTGTGGAAAATATAAAACAACATGAGTGCTAAACTTTCCAAGTTAATAACAATCAATGTCAGGTTTTTCGCTGAAATTAGTCTGTAGTTTTTTCACAATGCAATAGGTGGCACCAATGTACAGATTTTCTGTAACATGTAAAGTTATGGATACAATTTTTAGAACTAAACTAGAGAATCTCCTATCGTATATGGAAATAATATCCTAGACAACAGTCACAGAAAAGGTATGTCTTGCTTGACCATTCTCTTAAGAGTTTTCAGACAAGCAATAACAATAATTGCTGCACACAGAACATATGATTTGATATATTTAGACTTCCAAAAACATTAAAATTTAAAAATTTAAATCCCAAAACACAGGATGTTATGTTAAAAATGTATAATGCACTACTAGGGCTTCATTGTGAATACATGTGCAGAAATTTTGGTCACCATGTTCCAAAAAAAGATTGCTGCTCTGGATCGGAGATGATAAAATTCCAGGACTTCACAAAAATGTCCCGTACTGATTCAGGGGACCCGATCCAACTATTCAAAATCCCCAAGGGCATTATCAGAGTGAACCTGTGCAGCAGCAGGCTCCTTCAGAATCAACTAAACCATGAACCAGAGCACACCGGTGGAACCTACATGGAAGGAAACTGAAAGCTGGGAACAGGGGGCTCTTCTTTACCCGATGTGTTGCAGAAATATGGAACAAACTACCCAGTCCTGTTGGTGAAGCCAATGGGATGGCTTTCTTCAAGTAAAGGCTGGATGAAATTTATTGGATCACTAAGCTTCTAGCAACCAAACAGGTTAGAAGACCCTCTTGTCCTTTTTAAATCATTCTTGTCTTTAAGAAACAGACAGAATCATCAAAATACATCAACCTTAGAGCAAGTGACTAACTCGGAAAAATGTCAAGGAATTTGTACTTCTACTGTCATCCTGGACAAGAACTCAAAAACGCTACAACCCATAGTCTAATGGTCTCTTCGATCAAGAGTTAAACAGTACAGGCTCTTACCTTGTCTGCAGTCACATTCTCAGGGGCAGGGGGCAGATCTCCATCCAGAGGGTGGGAGGTGATTGGAGGAGAAGGACTTGCCGTCTCCTCGGCAACCGTAGCTCGGAACCTGTCCAGCAGGGAGTACAGCCGCTGGTGTCTGAGGAAAAACACCACGTCAGTCACAGGGGATAACTATGGCAGGCACTCATCAGTCACTCAAGAAATCACAAACCTTAGACTTTATAAAGTATATTGTTTAGGGCTGTAAATTCATTGAAAAAGAAAGCCTACCTCTGCGCTAAGCTGCTGCTCTGCAGATATTCTTGAATTCTGTCCAGTTCTTCAAGTGGTAGCTGGGCAATGCTGTTCTATAACACAAACAGAAGACAGTAGGCAAACTAAGTCCTTCCTACAGGGTAAAACTACTGTACATAAGCATAAGGATTTATATTCTTTTATTATGATTTGCAACACAGATATTCCACCAAATTGACAAGTTAAATGTGTCAGAACCTGAATTTCTATAGTGTGGCAGGGAATTCCCAGGTTATTTGAGTTCATACTGACACCTTCATTTTAAGAGAGGGCAAGAGAAAGACACGGACAGGACAAGAAAATATTCTACAAGATCAGCAGAAGATTCGTTTTTAATTACTAGTAGGTTTCCACTTAAAAGCAACAATCCAGAGATTTTGAAACATCAGGTAAAATGGTAAATCTGGTTACACAGCAACAGAAGGTAAAAAACTTCAATCTTTCTTTCCAGCAGGTGTAACAGGTCTGAAACACCAAACAGTGCATTCCAGACCAAAGGTGACGAAACGGGGAAAAAAAAAAAGAAAGACAATTATACCACAAAAATCCACTAAGATACTTTTCGTAGCACAGCCTCAGATTCCTCACTTTTACCTGTAATGTTTCTGCGAGAAGCATCTCTATCCGACGGCAAGCGAGTGTGTCCACCATGCGTGCCAGGACACGGAAAGGCGTGTTGATGAGCTTGTCCACATACAGCATGAGCACAGCTCCTGACTGGCTGAGGTGAATCCCTTCCAGGCACTGCAGGGTCTTCTTCAACATGGTTGGCTGCACAGGAGAGAGAAACTACTGTAATACTGCAGTGCAACTCTGAAACCTGTGAATATGTAGCAGCAGTAAATAGTGATGGAGAAAAACAAGGCACATTGTGAAAATACCACGTTATTACAAATGAATGGGGTTAATCGGTTTTTAATGACACTATAAAGTTCATACAAAATAAAGCAATGGATTGACTGCACCTATCACTTTGTTGTTGCACTTTAGATTGCACTTATCCAAAGAGATCTAACTTTTGTCATTTCATGGAAATCACACGGCATTATATGTCAAATCGCCCTCTATCGTAGTGAACTCATGTAACACCTACCTAATCATGAAGAACCAGGCAGGTAATTAATAATAATTAATAATTGCTTACACTTATATAGC